AGGATGCGATGAATTCTCCTGGAGCACTTAGAACAGTGTGCCCAGCACACAGTGGACACGGGTGTTGACTATCACTCCGGGCCAGCCAGTGGGCGAGGGCTTGGCAGCCGTTACTGCTTTCAGCCTTCACAGTAATTCTGAGAAGTAGGTATCTACTTCACTGGCCACATCCTACAGGCAAGACAATGCAGGTATAGGGAGGCTAAGTAACTTCTACAAGGGTATGCTGGCTATCCAAACATAGGTATCTTGGGACACAAACCTGGTCTGTCCTGAGAGCACACATTCTTTACCCAGACTAACTAATAAACTAAGACAGTAGAAGGACTACAGATGGGATTTATTTTCCCGGTTGTGTTGGTTTATCTAAAACACAAACACCCACAACAACAAATCTGATGAATAAGGCAGAGAAGGACATGGCTTAGGAATGAGCCATGGCAAGGACATAACATCAATGCTATCATGTATGGGGAAATTTTATTAAAACATATGCCATAATAAATGGAAGGTGAGTCCATGTGGAGAAAAATATTTTCAGATAAGCCTCTACTTAGAAGTTTGCAATTTCAAGTGACTCAGATATCTGAACAGCTGATGGTACTAGTCTCCAGCAACTGCTATTAATGCAAGAAGCAAATCTAGCCAGTTGCTACCCACGTGCTCCATGTGTGCACACACGTGCACACACATCTCACTCCCACCCCTCTCCAAAGCCCCAGTTCCACTTATCAGCTCAGGAGCCTCTGTAACCAAAGCCCATCTCCCATCCACACAGGAGCTCAGCTAATTGTAAAAACACAGGATGTTGGCCAGCCAGAGAGGTCAACTGTGATCCCGTTTACTCAGTACCTCCAAATACAATAGAGCCAAACCCCCAGAGGCCGACTGGCAGGAAGCTGTCTTTCCCAGCAATTTCATTCCCAAAACAGTTCCAGGAGTTCTAACCTCTTTGTCCCTTGAGACCTAAGGGTTGTGGACCTTTCTAAGTGGCTGCACTTTCCACCTGGTGCCCTGGGGACTGCGCTTACAATCTACGACCCGCCTGCAGCTCTCCAGCCCCTCTGCTCTGCGGGTTCCTACTGTCAGTGATTCTTCTCCTCCATTGTCTACTTTGTCACTGTCCTCCCGACTTGAACCTGTGATGTGCCCACGGGGCTGGTTGAACGCCTCGAAATCACCCACCGCCCCCATCTCTGCAAACCCCTTCCTCTGCTTGTGTCTGGTTCTGTCATGGAAGGGTCACTCTCCTGGCCCCCCAATTTTTTATCTGCTCAGTGCAATTCAGTCAGCATATAGTGACGCCCCTCCCAGCCAGGTGCTTGGTGCTGGGAATGCAGTGATGAATAAATAGGTCGCCATGCCCTTAGGAATTTACATTCTAGTAAGGAAGAAAACCCCATAAGCAGATCATTTCAAAACAATGTGGTAACGATCTACAAAGATGCACCCAGGTTAAATGAGAACAAAACCCATCCTGGTACTTCAGGAAGACTTGAGAAGGAATTTATGTCTTTCAACATGAGTAAGAGCTGGTTAGCCCGATAAAGAAGAAGAGGAAGAAAGTCCAGGTAGAGAGCCTGGGCAAGATGGTAGATACGGGGAAAAGACAAGCAGTTGAGTGATGCTGCTGTTTCCGATATGAAGCAGAGTGGGCATCGATAAAGGAAGGGTCGATGGGAATAATAGCATGGGAGGTTTTGCAGCACCATGTTAAGAAGCCTGGATTTAACTCTGTAGTGCATGGTTTCTCAAGCTTTTTACATCACAGGCTCGGCTGAAATTAATGAATCCCATGACCCCATTCTACCAAAAAAAGTCAATGTGCACACACGTACACATATAGTTTTACAGATACATACAAGGTTGCCCACAATTTTAGCCTCCCAACCCACACCCCCAGAAGTCAATCCACATTTAAACCCTGTAGGATGGAGGTAGGGTAAGCTGGGGTTGGCGGGGGGGATCTCTTGCACTACTTTCAGCAGAGAATTACATGATCACATATTAATGTATGTTTACATACATTACAATGAGGTATCATGACACGCAAGTCTGGAGGCAAGGAGTATAGTATAAAGATGTTCTGTGTTCTAGCAAGAAATAACAAGGCTGTGAGCTCGGGCTCTGGTGATAAGGCTTGAGAAGAAGCTAGAAAAGCAGCAGGTTTTGGTGAGTAATTGAAGGTGAGTCATGAGGAAGAGGAGTGAGAGGGGCCTTCAGATTTCCAGCTTGAAAAACTGAATGAACAAAATGAAATAGAAGGCTAGTGGAGAGGAGGAAAGGTAATGAGTTCATTTTTGGACATTTTGAATTTGAAATGTCTTTGAAACAGCTGGGGAAGAACAAGGCAATTGAGTATACTAGGCTGAAGTCCCGAGGAGAGGTCCAGGAGGGGTCATATGAGAATCTACCAACTTGATCTTCATTGCATTAAAATAGGATATAAATACCAATTTCTAAAAATTCAGAAGAATGTTTTAATTTTACCTTTTTCTTTTACCTTAACATAATTTCCCCTAGAACAAAATTTTATTTTATTTTATTTTATTTATTTATTTATTTTTTGAGAGAGAGAGAGGGTAGGGGGAGGGACGGGGACCGAGGGAGAGAGAGAATCTCAAGCAGACTCCATGCTAAGCGTGGAGCCCAATGGGGGCTTGATCTCACAACTCTGAGATCAGGACCTGAGCTGAAATCAAGAGCCTGACACTTGGGGTGCCTGGGTGGCTCAGTCGTTAAGCATCTGCCTTTGGCTCAGGTCATGGTTCCAGGGTCCTGGGATCGAGCCCCGCATTGGGCTCCCTGCTCAGTGGGAAGCCTGCTTCTCCCTCTCCCACGCCCCCTGCTTGTGTTCCCTCTCTCGCTGTGTCTCTGTCAAAAACATAAAATCTTTAAAAAAAAAAAAAAAAAAAGAGCCTTCCGCTTAACCGACTGAGCTACCCAGGCATCCTTAGAACAAAATTTTAAAGAAATAACAAAGGATCCTGCATTTACTATCACAGTGTTCCCCTGCTGGAGTCGAAGGAGTCACAGGACCGCCACGATATCATCAAGAAATCATCAAGATATCATCATTAAAAAAAAAAGCTAGCTAAAAACCCCAATTGGTGCATTCTCTTCTCACTGAAGTGCCCTGTCCTCACTTTCACTTTACATTCACAGTCCTACATAAATCCAAGTTAAAATCTGATGGATATAAAGGGCAGCCGAAAAAATTCAATTTTAGATCCTAGTTGATGTTTTAATAGGAAAAATTCCTTTATATTCAGTTTTATGCAATATAGAATAAAATCATTTTATTGTGCCAAAATGTTAGTAAAATTAATATATTGTTGGGAATTTGTAAGCTATCATACCTGGCCATGAAATTGAACATGGAGCCGTCTAAATGATTTCCCCCACAATCCATTCTCCACAAAGCAGCCAGGGTAATTTTGTAAATGTAAACCAGAGCATGACTCTCTCTTGGGACTTAACACCATCCAATGGGTCCCCATTGCTATTCAAATAAAACCCAAACCTCCCATCCTGTAGGGCCCCACCCTAATTATATCTCACTCATGCCCTCTCAAGCCTCTGTGATTCCTTTTTTTAAGCCTAGCTTTTTCCTGACTAGAACTATTGTGTTTTTATCTTCCTGGAAGTATCTGCCCTCCATTTCATAAAGCTGGCTCCTTTTCATCTCATCTTTGAAGTATCACCTCAAAATCCTCCCTGACAGAGGCCTTCCCTGACCACCACGTCTAACCCTTGACTACCTGCTGCACTCTTGGTCACATTACTCTTTTATTGTCTACATGTCACTTATCATGTATTTTTGTTTTGTGTACTTTATTGTATACTGGTTGCATAAAGGCTGTCACTTCATTTGAATTGTTCCACAGTATGGGGCGCCTGGATGGCTCAGTTGGTTAAGTGACTGCCTTCGGCTCAGGTCATGATCCCAGGGTCCCGGATCGAGCCCCGCATCAGGCTCCCTGCTCCTCGGGAAGTCAGCTTCTCCCTCTGCCTGCCGCTCCCCCTGCTTGTGCTCTCTCTCTGTTGACATAAATAAAATCTTAAAAAAAAAATTTGTTCCATAATACATAATAAGTCGTTAATATTTGTGGAATGAATGAACTAATTGAACTGATAGTGTTTCCATAAAAGTAGTAAAACAAATAATAACCAAAGAGCACTCTGAACTATGTTGCCAATGTCTGTAGTTGGCACTAGTAAATGAACACCTTTCAGTAGCTCCCGGTTGGCTGAAGAAGACAATAGGCAATTGTAATCCAGTGTGGTAAATGCTAATGAGGACCTAAATATAGGGTCCTCTAGGATCACAAAAGAGAGGAACCTAATCTTGTCTTAGAGGATCCCATAAGGAATCGTGAGCAAAGTTAAATCTGAGAGATGAGTGAAGAAAAATGGGGGGAGAGGGGGTGGAAGGGATGTGGTAAATGTCTACATAGAAGGAACAGCAGGAGCAAAACCCTGTGGCAAAAGATGGGAACCTGAGACATTTTAAGTACTTCTCTGTTCCTGGAACATCCTCCCAAGGTAACTGTAGGGTACGATGACATAATAATGTATGCGAACGTACTAGGAATGGTGGCTTGCCATATAAGTTTTGATTAATAAGCTCAGACTTGTACCTAATGATCACTTATTACCCGATAGTTTCTGGTATTCAAAGAAAAAGGAAAGCATTTCAGAGAAGGACTTCGAGTGAAGGCTTCTGAAAGATCCTGGAACTTTATTCACACTCTACACTAATTGGGTAGTCTACAGTCTACTTTGGTGGAGAGTTGGCGGGGGGGGGGGGGTGTTGCCTTGACAACGGAGCTCACGGCCTGTCAAAGTGAAACGGTTGGCCGATTGGCTGCGAAGGTTTCCAGAGGCCTGCCCCCCATCGCTGATTGGATGAGGGGCAGCCAAGCTCCGCTACTTTCCCGCAGGGGGGTCCTGTTGCTTGGCAACCGATTTGCGACCTCCAGCGAAGCGGGCACCCACTGACACCTGTGAAGCGCAGATTACCCCGACTAACGACCGCCCTCCGCTGCCTCTGCTTCCCCCTCTCGCGCCCGCTTCACGCACGAAAAACGCGAGCTGTCCCAGGTGCTCCTCCAAGTTTGCCTTGAGCCTGGGCTGTGAACTGGCACCGCAGGGACACGCCGCAGTTGAGAACGTGCCCGTTTTCTTTCTGGAAGTCTCGGTTGGGAGGAGTCAGAGGAGAAAGAAAAGTCTGTTGTAAATCCAACTTAGAGACACTTACCTTGGGAGGACAGAGCGTTCTGGGGCTCTAGAAAACAAGTAGTTTACGTGAGTTTACTAGGTGTGGGAGAGTGACCCATAATCTCAGACACCTTTCTCAGAGTAAACGCTAGGGGTGTGGGGACAAGTGCCAGACCCTTTGCTGCCTTATTATGCACAGCAGAGCTTACTTCTTGCTGGAAAGAGACTTCCAAGAGTTGAAGGAGAACAATTTTAAGGTGAGTCCTGGGAACCTGGAGGGATGTGTTTCGTTGGGGTACGAATTTTTAAAGTTTTTTTTTTTTCATTCGAGACACAGAGATAGAGAGAGAGAGAGAACATGAGCAGGGGGAGAAGCAGAGGGAGGGAGAGAAGCAGGCTCCCCGCTGAGGAGGGAGCCCCATGCGGGGCTCGATCCCAGGACCCTGGGATCATGACCTGAGCTGAAGGCGGACGCTTTTAAAAGCATTTCAATCCGTGTTTATTCTATAAGGCATAATTTAGTTAAACCTAATTTGCCACTACAGTGTTGTTATTTAAAGAATGGATTGCACCATAACAATCATCTTATGATAATACGAATTATTATGATATCATAATAATAATAAAAACATGGAGCATATTGTCCTAATTTATGTGTGCTTAAGCCCTATCAGAGGGTGATGAGTAGGTGCAGGGTTGTGCTCCTTAATTACAACATTATTAAATAAGTAGTGTTTTGTTTTACCTACCAGAAACCGAAGCCCCAGAAAGGTTCAGTAAATATTTGGCCCCAGGCTTCCATCCCAGGGTTTTCCGATTCCAAACCCCTGGCGAGCTCTTAAGTCTTAAGTTCTACTCCTCACTGTCTAGTACACTTTTTGCCAAATGCTATTATATATATTACAGTGAGGTCCATAGGTGCCACAGGCTGATTTATCACTTATTCTATAAAGAATAAAAAATGGAAGGGAGGGGAAGGGAGTACTTAAGAGAAAGAATAGAAAGAAAGCTGCCTTGGAGGGCTCAAAGGGCTACCAATAGTTGCCTCAGGTGTAGTTCAATGGCATTGTTCTGCCCCCCCCCCTTCCCCGCCTCCACACCGTGCTATAGAAGTGTTGTCTTCACTGGAGATGTTAGGAACAATTATTGAGTCCAACAACAATCCCAGACATACCAACCTAACATCTGATGTTGTTTGTTTCTGTTCTACCTGAACTTTGTGGTTCTCTGGTAAAAGAGAATTTGATGAAGAAAGAAGTGATATGTAACTACAAATAATGTAGATAATAGAGATATAATGTTTATCCAGACTAGCATTTTACATACTTAATAACTATGTGGTTGCTCAGAAATATTTGTTCACTATATTTAAGTGTATCCCTCAGCGTAAAGGATAAACTTTTCCATGAAATACATTTCTTGTCCCTCCATTGGGACAGTACCTCAAGCGTAGGAAAACTTTATTTTTATACACAAGCATTATGTTGGAGTTGTGTTTTTCTTAATGAAAATTTTCTACTCCATGCCCTCCATATAGCATCCATATAGTTTTTTTAAAGCTTGGAAGAAATGCATCTTTCCAACTATTTCCATCTTTTCTATTTGGAATCTTAAATTGACCTATTGATTTATATAAGCCACATCTCAAGCTTGACTTTGTAGTCCCACTTGTGATTTCCATGCTTATGATTTATTTTAAATTTACTATTGTGTGTGTTTCTTGGAATCTACCTTAACTTCTGTGTAATAAGACAGTATATAATATATAACATCTCCCCAAATCAACAAATAAATAAATTTATCAGGAAAAGAAAATGTGGAGTTTTTGGAATTCACTGTAACTTGACATTTGATTTTCAAAGCTGTGATATTAAATCTTTTCTTCTGCTTTGATTTTTTTTTTAATTAAAGGGTATTACTGCCTTTCCTGTAAGTGAAGATCTAATGGAATGGGGAGCCGATATTGAAGGTCTACAAAATACATTTTGGCATGGTTTGTGTTTTCAAAACCAGTTTACTTTTTAAAAGTCTTTATACCATTATTAGCCTATCTTCTTTACATGTATAATAAGGTTACAGTATATAAATTTTCTAGAATTCTAAAGGTATTCACATGTTACTTTTTTCATCATGTGGCTTAATTTCTTGCCATTTGTTAATGTAGATGGAAATTTTGGATTTGAATTTTTCCTTATGCCAAATTTTAATGTTATTACACTTTTAAGAAGCAGACACAATAAATCATATCAATTGGGAATATCATGTAAGTCTTCCATTAAGTCAGAGAATAACTATCAAAATTCCTACTTGCATAAAAATCCCACAATTATCTCTCATTTTTTTCCTTCATGATTTTTCCCAAAATTTTTATAAATCAAATTCTTGAGAAGACTGGGCCACTATAATCTTTAATGACCATGCACTCTTTATGGATTAACAAAATAGAGTTGTTGAGGGAAGTAAGAGAGAAAAACGTAAGTGATTAATTATAATAAAATCTAATATGTGCTATTAATGGATCTTGAATGGAATGCTGAGAAGACAATGATTAGTTACTTTTGTCTTAGAAGGTCAGGAATGGCTGGCTTCTCAAGGAAGTGACATTTGAGTTGAATCCTGAGGAATGGATAAGAGTTTGTTAGGTTTGGAAGGAGGGGAAGGAAATTCAGTCTGAGTAAACAGCATGGCAAAAGCTTATAAACAAGAGACAGTTCTAAAACAATGAGTTCAGTAAATATGAGCAATACAGTGTAAGGGGCAGGTGTTAAGGGATGGAGTTAGTGGATGGAAAGGACTCACGCGGTGAGAAACAGGCTGAAAACACAGTGGAATTAGATTGTGAGGAGTCTATTAGACTATCTAGAGGACTCTCTGTACCGTATGATCCAATTTATTTATAAAACTCTAGGGACCTCGAGGAGGCTAAGCTAAAGAGAAACTTCAGGTTTCATTTCATCAACACAACATGACACTTAAGTAAAAATGTTTGTTTCTTTATCATAGGATTATTCTTCCAACTGAAAATAAACTTTATATCACAATACAATTTTGTCCCTCCAGTTGTGAAATTCCTGACAATTCCTTTTCATCCAAATGGTAAGCACCAAATGAGATTTTTATCACTGGGCTCTGTCCCTATTATCCTTGTTCCTTGTAAGTGTTTGATAATGTTTCTAAAAACTTTGTTATGGTTATATTTAGTAAGCATGCTTATTGGGGAAAATACAAAAAGGCAGAAAAAAATTATCACTTTGAATCCTAATTCAGAGAGCTATTCCTCTCAATATTTAAACAAATTTATTTTCTTTTTACTATGTATGTATTCTACATAGTTGAAGTATTACATATGAAGTTTATAAAATGACGTTTATTTCTGGATTATTAAACATTCTTCAAAAGGTCATTTTTAATGACTAAATGATAAACTTAACTATTCTTGTATTCAGTATCCTCATTTGATCTGATTTTATCTTCATAAAAAATAATGGACTGACAAATTAACATTTTAGAAAGAAATGAGTTGGATTGCTAGTCAAGTTACATACAAAATGAATTCCTGATGTATCAAAAAGTCTAAAAGTTTTAAATCCTAAAAAGAAAATCAGGGGCGCCTGGGTGGCTCAGTCGTTAAGCCTCTGCCTTCTGCTCAGGTCATAATCCCAGGGTCCTGGGATCGAGCCCTGCATCAGGCTCCCTCCTTGGAGGGAAGCCTGCTTCTCCCTCTCCCACTCCCCCTGCTTGTGTTCCCTCTTTCGCTCTCTCTCTCTGTCTGTCAAATAAATAAGTAAAATCTTAAAAAAAAAAGAAAATCAAATAGAATTTTTTTGTTGTTTTTTGTTTTTTGTTTTTTATTTATTTATTCATGAAAGTGAGAGAGAGAGAGAGGCAGAGGCAGAGGGAGAAGCAGGCCTTCCGCCTAGCCGGGAGCCCGATGCGGTACTCGATCCCAGGACCCCGGGATCATGACCTGAGCTGAAGGCAGACGCTCAACCATCTGAGCCACACAGGCGCCCCTCAAATAGAATTTTTAATCGGCTTGGTGAGGAAGGCTTTTCTAAATATGATAAAACCTAATAACTGTGAAAAAAGCATGACACATTAAACTACATAAACTTTTTAAAACTTCTCTACGGCCAACAATATTATAAACAGACAAAATACATTGTCTTTTGCAAACCAAGCTACAATATTTGCAATGTGTAAAACAGAATATCTACAACATATATAGAACAACTTAAGAATCAATAAGAAAAAAATAAAGCAATAGAAAAACAGGCAAAGGTTATAAACAAACACTTGATAGAAGACACATAACAAAAATAAACATAAAAAGATGTTCAGCTTCACTAGTAAGAAAATAAATGCATATTAAAACAGAAATTTATGATTCATTGTTTATGTTTACAAAATGTTAAAAATTTATACAATTTTAGTAGGGGTGGGCAAACGTGGGTGGGTGGCTTCTCTGATATAATGATGACCTCAGTGTGACCTTTTTAGGAAGCAGTTGACAGTTTCTAATCAGGTATAAAATGCAAATAGCCCTAAATCCCTGTAATACCGTGTTTATAAATTATTCCATAGAAATACTAGCACAAGTGTGGAAGAGTATGTATAATATTTAAATATGTTTGTTCCCAGTAACAATGTTGGAAATAGGGAAAAGGGAAATAATCCCAGTATCCGTTAATATAGGAATTTTTAAGTAAAATATCTTACAGCTCTATACATAACAAGGAAGATATATACACCTAGACTTTTTGGTCACTGCTATTCCTAGAATATTCCCTACCTGGCACATAGCTGGTGCTCAAATATTTTTTCATAAATATGTCCAAAAATATGTTGATGATTTACTGTTAAAAAAAGAAAAAACCTTCAAAGAATAACACATAAGATATAATTCCATTTAAACGATACACACAGTCACACACGTGTGTGTGTATATGTATAGACCAACTGGTAGATTTATTTTTTTGAAGATTTTATTTATTTATTTATTTATTTATTTTGGAGAGAGAGAGCACATGCATGCACGTACACATAAACAGGGAGGGGCAGAGGGAGAGGTAAAGAACCTCTCAAGCAGACTCCACTCTGATCACGGAGCCTGGCATAGGGCTTGATCTCAAGACCCTGAAATCGTGACCTGAGCCTAAACCAAGAGTCAGATGCTTAACTGACTGAGCCTTCCAGGTGTCCCTAGACCAACTGGTAGTAACTCTGAAGAGGTGGTATTAGTAGTCAAGGGAGCTTTCATATTTTACTTTACATACTTTTATTTGTAAAATATGATTTATTTTGTTATTTTTTATTATGTTAATCATTATGTACTTTTTTTTATGTTATGTTAATCACCATGTATTTCATCATTAGTTTTTGATGTAGTGTTCCATGATGTATTGTTTGCGTATAACACACAGTGCTCCATGCAATCACCATGTACTTTTATATAATTTTTTCCAAGTATATTATTACTTTGTAATTAAAACCTATTTTTAAGGTATAAAATTAAATCTATGGTACACAGTTCATTGTGTACAGTTGCTATTATTTGCTTAACATAAACAGGAGTGGAATTACTGGTTAAATGTAGTGGGGGTCAGTGCTATCCCCTAGTCCTCACACCTTCCATTTCCACAGAGTACAGAGAACCTCTGTCTCTAGGAGGGAAAGTACAGAAAACCTGTGATTGCTCTTCTTTCCCTCCCTCACTCCTTGAGTGACTTACCTATTGAGGAAATAGGAGAAAAAAATTGAACATGTGTGGCCCAACACTTTCTTTCCAGCCAGTCTTCCCTTAGAATGGGTTCCCTATGGCTTTCTCCAGGCAGGAAACAGGCAGGCCTTCAGTTTGGGTGTTAAGTTCAAATCAGGGGGGCTTTTGTGGGGCTCGAGTAAAGCCATTGATCACATGCATTCTCCATTTCAGTCTTACCTACAATAAAGTTGATTTTTTAACTTCCATCTTTCAACACTTAGGTCTATTTCATTATATATGAGCTTGGGAGGAAGGGAGTAGTATTTATTAGCCTCCAAACTCCAAGGGATGGCTCTATAGGGTCCTAAGTGTTCAGATACATAAACCCAAGTTGCCTTTTAGGATGTTATTTACACTTCCACCCATAACTGTGTATAAATCATTTTAGCACTTTCCATATCTGGGTGTTGACACTTCAGAGACATTTTTTGCCAATTTAATAAGAATGTCACTGTTATTTTATTTTATTTATTTATTTTTAAAGATTTTATTTATTTATTCATGAGAGCCAGAGAGAGAGAGAGAGAGAGAGAGAGAGGCAGAGGGAGAAGCAGGCTCCCAAGGAGCAGGGAGCCCGATGCGGGACTCGATCCCAGGACCCTGGGATCATGACCTGAGCCGAAGGCAGACGCTTAACCATCTGAGCCACCCAGGCGCCCTGCCACTGTTATTTTAATAAGCACTTCTTTGAATACTTGTGAGTTAAACATTTTTTCATGTCTGTTGATTGTATTTCTTATTTTGTGAACCATCAGACTTAACGGTGTTATTACATTGTCTTAGATATTGCAAATATTTCCCTTTGTCACTAATTTAAAATTTTGCTTATGCTGGTTTTTTTATATCTGGGGTTTAAAAATTTTTATGTAGTCAAATCTATTAGTCTCATCCTTTGAGATTTTTGCAATTACCTTTAAACTTAGATGATCTCTTCCCCAAATACAATCAAATCATCATTTTAATATTCTTTTAGTTTTTCCGTAGTCTTATTTTTCATATTTAACTCCATTCTTTTTTTTTTTAATACTGATTTAATTAATTTGTTAGGGCATAGGCCAAGCTTCTCTATATCTTTCCAATCTGTGTGTGACAAAACAAAGCTGGCAGGGAGGTTTTGCCATCCTCAACCTGCAGTTATCATTTCTGGATGTAAGACTTTTACTCTGACCGTTTCCAGCCAGTGGGAAGGGAAAAGAAAAAGAGGGCAAAACAGCTCCCATCAGGAAGTATGATCTAGAAGTTGCGCACTTTCCTTCTGCTGATATCCCACAATTACAACTTAGTTACATGGCCACGTCTTGCTGGAGGAAAGGCTGGGGAAAATGTGGGCAACCATGTATTTATCAAAAACCACACAGAGGGATGGAGATGGGGGGCAGGCATAGTGCTCCTTATTCCAGAAGAGATGGAAGAAAGGAAGTGCAAATACCAAAGGACAATCAGTAATTTGCACAGCACTTATCAATGCCATTTGTTGATAATCCTCTTTTGCTGCTGAATCATAATTGCACTTTTAACATACAACAGTTTTAATACATACTAGGTTTTGTTTCTAAAGGCTCTTATCACATTGTTTAATCTCATGTCCCACTCTGCAGTTCTGATTATTGTGGTTTTACAGTACAATGTCAAATCCAACACCCCTCTTTTCACCTTTTCAAAATTTTCTTTTCAGTTCTTAACTTTTTATTGCAAGATTTTTCTGTTAGAGTAGAAATGTTTCTCTTAGTCATTTATAAAAATTTTTTTATATATTAATAAGACTATTGTTAATAATGATGTCTATCATTTGGGGGGAATTTGCCACATGTCAGATACTCTATTAAGTACTTTATTTTTTAATTCTTTTCAGTGAAGGAAGGTACTTTCATGATATCCCCATTTCACGTATTAGGAAAGTGAGACCTAGAGTGATAAAGTTAAATTGCTCAACAGGTAGGGGAGTCAACATTCAGATCTACGTGTGTCTGACACTAAAGCCCATGCTTTTAACAGCTATACTACATCAGCTGTCGGTCACATTCATTGAAAATGCCTTCCTGCTTTGTCTTTTGCTTTCTGATTTTGCCTATGATATTTTAAATAATAATTGTATTCTATGTGTGAATATTCATGTATTATTTTAATACAGTAGACCAAAATACTGGTCGGGCTTGTATAGATATTTTGGATGACCCTGATAAGTGGAATACAAGCTATACCTTGAGCAGCATCTTACTTACCCTCCAGGTAAGAACAGGTTAATATAATGCTCTCTTTAATACTTTCAACTGTCCCAGTTATTCAAAATATATGGAAGAAGATGTACAATGAATATTTAAATGTTTGAAGGATTTGAATAAACTTATTTAAATCAATAGCATTTTTACACCAAGGCTATAAAGTGGAACTTATAAATATTATTTTAAAATGAAACTGATAGTTACTGCCCTTTACAATGAAAGAATATATGTTTTATTTAAAAAAGAACTGGATGGTTTCAATTCTAGAAATATAGTCTCAAGTTTTCTTTTGGCTTCTAACTTTACTTCATAATATTGGATATGATCTTTCCTCATTCATGAATCTGTCTTCCTTAGAAAGGTGAACCAAATGACTACAACTTAAAATGTTCAGCTTTATCCTTTGTTTCTGACAGTGCTAACTACTTGCTCTTTTATAAACTTTCATATCAAATCCAGTGAACAATTAAAGCAGGGATTTTTTTCCTCCCTTCAGATTGTTGCCTGTTTCTGGAATGCCCCTTTGCCCCCTGGATTCATGGTCCTTAGGAGCATGCCTCAGTGTTCTGTTATTTCTGACTCTCAAAAAACCTCTTTTCTCATGTGGTGCTAAAATAAATTATTTCAATGGCACTTGGTTTGACCACCTGTAATCTGACTTAGTGACTTTCCCATGGACCTACTCATCATTAATAGTATCTGAAGATAAACTATTAAATTTTGATTATTTGGAATACTTACAGAAATGTAGTATTCTGGCTTAATTGAATTCTCTCAATCACATAGAATTATAATACAAATCCCATTTCTTATTTTTGAAAAAAATTTTCTGTCTAGTCATCTTAGTATACTGAGAAAAGCAATCTTTCTTAGAGGTTAAATGTCCAAACTTATCCATTCATTCCTTCTACAAATATGTATTGAGCACCTACCTGTGCTAAGCCATGTTTGGGGAGAGACATTCGAACAAAAACTATAAAGAACTAAGTGAGCATGATCTGCAAATATCTGGGGTTGATCTTTTTGATTCCTTCAAACTGAGTCATAGTCCTGTCTCTTCTACCTGAATTAGGATCTGCCTTAAGAATAGTAAAACTGAGGGGCGCCTGGGTGGCTCAGTCAGTAAGCATCTGACTCTTGATTTTGGCTTAGATCATGATCTCAGTGTGGTGAGATGGAGCCCCACATCAGGCTCTGTGCTCAGCAGGGAGTTTCCTTGAGATTCTCTCTCCCCTCTCCCTCTCCCCCCCTACCCCTGCACAAGCATGTGCTCTCTTTCTCAAATAAATAAATCTTTAAATAAAAAAGAATAATAAAACTGAATGTTTTGAGGCTCAGTGGGGATTCTGCTTGGAATTTTCTCTCTCCTTCTCCTGCTGCCCCCCCCCCCCCCCCCAGTTAATACAACTTATCCAGAGCACGCTCTCTCTCTCTCAAATTAAAAAAGAGAGAGTAGAAAGAAAAAGGAAATCAACGATAGTCATAAAGAAAAACCTTAACCCTACTGTGATTAGCATTTCCCTCTAATGTTTTCTCCCATGTTTTTGTTTAAAATCTTTCAGTTGCCCTATTCACTGCAGGGTAGCCTCAGTTCTCTTGCCTGACAAACGATCTCCTTGTCCTCACACCTGGGCTTCAGACTCTCCCTAACAGCACCATGCAGCCCCACTCCTATTATATTTTCCTGCTTTTCTCCCTCACAGTGCTTGGTTCAGTTCATGTTAAAAAAACATTTATAGAGTTCTCAATTCTAAAGTTACAAACCCAAGCAAGTCTTGAACCTTAAAAAGTGCTCAGTCTAGTTTCTGACTGGCAACCCATTTTCTCCTTCTCTCTTGCTTCTCTCTTGCTCAGTCTGGGAAGAAGCTGCATACATTGGAAGAGTCAGGGCCAATGAGTCCTCCACTGGGATGCCTTTCCTGACTTTCTTTCAGAGGTAGAATTGACGGCTTTGGTGTTTGAGGGGTTTCTTTTGTCTCCCACCCACTGAGTGGTACTCCAGGCAGATTTCTATCAGAGGACTGTAATACTGTAATGCACATACTGTTTTCTTATATGTCTTCTCCTGTTGGACTACAGGCTCCTCGAGGTCAGGGAACAGGTCCAGTTCATCTCTGATTCCCCAGTACCCACCTAGGACAATGCTGACAGGAGATGCTAAGTAACACAAATGAAAGAATGATCCTGAATTTTTTACATCGTTCCAAATATGGTTTATATGTACAACTTATTTGACCTGTTTTTCACTTACCATTTTATCTCAAGTAATTTTCACATTGCTGCAGTTAATATTTTAATGGCTATTTAGTAGTTCTTTCAAGATCAGTGCTGCCTGGTAGAACTTTCTGCACTGATGAAAATGTCCAATATCTGCGCTGTCCAATACAGTAGGCACTAGCCATGTGGCTACTGTGCATTTGAAAGGTACTTTCATGATATCCCCATTGTGGGGGATATCATGGAAATGTGGCTAGTGTAACTGAGGAGAACTGGGTTTTTAATGTATTTTAATTTCAGTTTAAATAGCCACATATGGCTGGTGCCTACTGTAATGGACAGTACACGGATAGACCATAATTTCTGAATATTTCCCTTTGAACAATAGATGAGACATATGTATAGTTATCACATTGTTATTCAAGGGAGTGCCATTTGAAATGGTGTTTAAAATATTTTAAAGTCTAAATATACTAATCATCTAAAATTTTTATAATCTTACAAAAGATTATAAGAACACTTGTACTTCAATATATAATGCAAAGGTAAATAGCAACACCCATCCATAGAAGGAATTCCAAATTCATGGGCTTTAACTAATTGGAAATTATAAATTCTACCTACTGTTGTAGTTTTTTACTGATGCTCCAGTTTTTTGTACTTATCCTCTGGAAAGCTGCTTATGTTGTTCCACACTATCACATGGCTAATTTAAAAGTTGGACCTTGGGACGCCTGGGGGGCTCAGTCGTTAAGCTTCTACCTTCAGCTCAGGTCATGATCCCAGAGTCCTGGGGTGAAGGCCCACATTGGGCTCTTTGCTCAGTGTGGAGCCTGCTTCTCCCTCTGCTCCTCCCTCCGCTCCTGCGCGCACGTGCGTGCACACTCTCTCTCTGACAAAGTCTATAAAAAAATAAAAGTTGGACCTTTTCTTTTCACTATTTTAGCAGGGTGTCTGATTCATACATTTCAATATATTCTAGCTCTTAAAAATCATTAAGTATACTTAGTAGCTTGTGTACACATAATATGAAAAGGTCTTAGGCATAGTGTCAATGCAAAGACTGTTGAATAAACTTCACCAGATGTGCCTCTCTGAGTAGGATTATCACTCCAGCCAAAGACCAAAAGCTTACTCTTGAAGATAAGTTTCATCTGCTTCCTACCCACTTTGAAAGGTATAATGCCATCCACACTGAATCCTTATTTGAGCAACTTAGAATATCCTTGGAGATATGTTCAAATGTGTTTTCCAAACAGAAAAACTCAAATAACAGCAGTAAATTCTTATTGCCTTTGAAATATCAGATGTCAGATTATTGCTTCCGTTAGTGATGACTGACATCATTTCTAAGACACTTAAGTCAGTTAGCCACTTTGAACTACATCTACACTTAGTATTCTGGTAGTTATTTTTTTGGTTATATTTTATTATCTAATTTGCATCTTATACTATTCAAAATACTGAAATTATTGAATAAATATTTGCAATTTGGGAAAATAATAATTTTGAGGTACAAGATAAAAAAGATCATGGTCTAGCAGAACTATTAAGTTTTGGTTACTGCTGGTCCCCTATTTTGTCCAGATGCACATATACTATAGCAGGCAGAATTTTATTTTATTTTTAATATTTATTAGAGAGAGAGAGAGAGAGAAAGCGTGCGCGCATGCGCGTGCGCATGCATGAGGAATGGGAGGGGCAGAAGCAGATTCCCTGCTGAGCAGGGAGACCGATGCAGGGCTCCATCCCAGGACCCCAGGGTCATGATCCCCGAGCCAAAGGCAGATGCTTAACAGACTGAGCCACCCAGGTGGCCGCCAGAATTTTAAAGATATCCCTCCAGGGCTCCCATCCTCTGGTTATTTAATCTAATCTACATACTGCTGTAAAAGGGCTTTGCAAATGGAATTACAGTTACTAATCAGCTTACCTTAAAATGGGAAAGTTATCCTGAATTATACAGGTGTACAAAGTCATTATTATAACCCCTTAACAATAGAAGAGGAAGGCACAAGTGTTGCTCAGAGAAATAGAGTGGAAGGAGAATGGATGTGGCAGGAAGGAACATCAGAGAGATTCCAAGCATAAGAAGGATTCTTCATACTTTAATTGCTCTGAGATGTAGGGGTCCAGATGTAATTTGCAAGAGATCTCTTGGAGCTAAGGATGGCCCCAAGCTAACAGCCAGCAAAGAAACAGTGACCTCAGTCCTACAAATGCAAGGGACTGAATTCAACTAACAACCTGAATGAGGTTGGAAACATTCTTTCAGAACTTCTGATAAGAGCCCAACCAGCCGACACTGATTTTAGTCTTACTAAATGTGGAAAAGAAACCAAAATGACCACCTAAGACTAGCCACCTACAGAAATGTGAGATAATAAATTTGTATTTTTTTAAAGATTTTTAAAATTTTATTATGTTAATCACCGTACATTACATCATTAGTTTTTGATGTAGTGTTCCATGATTCATCGTTTGCATATAACACCTAGTGCTCCATTAAAGATTTTATTTATTTATTTGACAGAGAGAGACACAGAGAGGGAACACAAGCAGGGGGAGTGGGAGAAGGAGAAGCAGGCTTTTTGCTGAGCAGGGAGCCCGATGCTGGGCTCTATCCCAGGACCCTGGGATCATGACCTGAGCCGAAGGCAGATGCTTAATGACTGAGCCACCCAGGTGCCCCAAGTCTGTATTGTTTTAAGCTGCTAAATTTGTGCTAATTTGTCACAGCAGCAATAGAAAACTATAGACACCAAATTCATTCAATGATCTGGAGGGATGTTGAAGTATACACAGTATACACAGCCTTATTACATACGTTTGTTTATCCATGATCTAAATGTGATCTTAACGTTAAAAATTAAACTTATTTTTTAATGGAAATGTTTCAGTGTTTCCTAATGTTTAGTTTCCTTTATATGTAAATTGAATTTAAATTCATGTGATAGAAAGGAATAGGCTAGAGGAAGGAACTTGTAACTTGTTTTGATCCTAATGTTTGGCTCATGACCATACAGGATAACATCAAGATAGACCAAGAGTTTCTTTTTTTTTTTTTTGATTTTATTTATTTATTTGAGAGAGAATGAGAGAGAGAGAGCACGAGAGGGAAGGGGGTCAGAGGGAGAGGCAGACTCCCTGCCGAGCAGGGAGCCCGATGTGAGACTCGATCCCAGGACTCCAGGATCATGACCCGAGCTGAAGGCAGTTGCTTAACCAACTGAGCCACCCAGGCACCCTTAGACCAAGAGTTTCTTGAGACGGACTATGTCTCATTTGTCTTTGTATCTGTCTCCAGATGGATACATAGTCGCCATGTAATAAATGCTTGTTACTGTTGTATGTGTTGGCTTGTCTTTTTGCTCTAGCAAAAAATTTACTTTGAAAACTTTAATTTTTATATTTTTTTCCTATAGGTTATGCTTTCTAATCCAGTGCTAGAAAATCCAGTGAATTTGGAAGCAGCCCAAATGCTGATTAAAGATGAATCTCTGTACAAACAAGAAGTTCTAAGACTTTTCAACCAACCAACACAATGTAAGAAGTGCCTATTTGTTTTTTTGCCAATTATTAATTATGCATTTAGAGCAAATAAATGATCCAGTGAATAAGTGTTATATAAGCAAATATTTTCTGTATCCATTCTCAGGAATGAAATCATACTAAGATTTCTCCTATTGTACCTCTTTGTCAAGCCAGTCAGTTATCAAAAAGTCAGTCAAAAAGTGGTTCTTCTTTAAAGATTATCAGTGATCATTAGTTTAGTATTTTTAAATGTTATGGTCATATGGATGGTGGTACTGACTGAAGCTTATTTAACCATCATAAAGATAGGACATCTGATTTTAACTCTTTGATCTATAATGGATATTTCCCAGATTTGACCTGCAGTACCCCAGATCTTACTGCACTGGGATTCCTTTCCTCTTGATTAGCAAAATGTTCAGCTTTTTGTTCTGAAGAGTTCACCCCCAAGATACTCCTTCTAAGAGTCCATGTGGAAATGACATCTGAGGCTCTTCCATCTTTCTGCTCTATTGACCAGTGGTTTTTTTTTTTTTCTTTTGATACCCTTGTTTTGCTCTCTTTTATCCTGCCGGGGACCTCTTCATGACTTAGCCCAGTCTCTCTACTGCTCCTGTGTTCTCTCTGCAATTAGCAGAATAATGCAATTGGCTCCTTATGCCCAGAGGGGTTCATCACAAGTGGGGGTTGGGGCCCTAAGTGCGCATAGTTCTTTCCTCTCTATCCTGCCCCTCTTTTTTCTAGCCGTGCACAGCAGCCAGCCGGCGTGAGTGCTGTCATTACTTCCCTAACAGCAAGCCTTGCTGTTCAGACTCGTTCTGCCAAACTGATCTCTCATGTGCTTTTTCTTTCAGATGTCCCCTGTTTCTTTTTCCAGTCCCCTTCCAGGGCCTGCCAGTCCACTAGCTAGGTGTGTACAATTGTGACCAAGTTCAAGTGCTCCTCCACGGGCTTTGGGTCTGGTGCAAATCAAGCAGTGTTGATCAGGCATCCTTTTCGGTATCTTCAAACATGTCATGATTGTTGTGGAGTCCCTCAAACATTCCCTGACAGTTTTAAAGCTGGTTTGTGCACAGAGGAGTCCTATTGCTTCATTCTGACCACATTTCTGATCTCCCAGAATATTGTAGCATCCACTGCTGTGCCCTCTGTGCTCAGTTACTATTTGTAGAATGAATGAATGAACAATTTATATCACTTAACTCTTCACTGAGCCCTGCAGTACTATCATTATAAAGAAATATTCTATAACAAAGCTATATCCATAGTCTGGTAAATGGAAATTTAAAAACTGGTTTTAAAGTATTGTCTACAGTAAATGATTCTGTGCAATAGATTTTGGGTTTAGCCTGCCAAAAGGAAGGATGAGAAAGAAACTGAAGAGAAGTCAACCCTTCCTTTTGTCCCCCTGCCTAGTAGATGCCATCCTTCACTCCTTTCAGTTCTCCAGCTGTACTATCAAGTCAGACAGAAAAGCTGTCCCAGTTGCCAAATATGTTCTTTCGTTCACTATGTTCTTTAGTTACATTGGTGAAGTACGTGGAAATCCAAGACAGTAAATAGTTACCAGCCTGCTTTCTATCTCAGCCAGACCAGGAGTGGTAGTCTCGGGTGCCATGAAGAGAGTGACTTCCTGCAGCTTCCAAGGGAAAGAGTGTCCATGATACAGCAGACACAGCTGCTAAGGGGGTGGGGGAGAAGTTGCAGAAAACTTGTGCACTCTCAATTAGAGGGTAGTCTACAACTATGTGGATTTCTGTGAAAAACTGCATCCAGTGAGAATTAATTACTTGTAACAACTTGAAAAAAGATCTCACTAGAATGCTGCAAGAATCATCTTTCATATAACTTAAAATGTTAATAAAGAGATCTAGAAAAAGCATAAAGGGAATTACCACATTTTTAGGTAACACAAAACTGGAACAGATAGTTAATTGTATAAATGAGAAACTCAAGAGGCAGAGAACTATGTCATCTCTGTAAGCATTGATTATAGGCCAGAACTATATCCTCAGTAGCCAGTGTAGTATCTGGTTGTAGGTATTGAATAAAAATTTGTAGAATGAACAAATGAAAAAATACATGTGAGCTTAGATCCTGATTTTACTTCATAGTTTACACAATGCTTTCACATACATTTATTCATCTGATCCTCAGCCTCTCCCTCAGTAGGAAGCCGAGGATCAGTGGTAAGTGGTTGGCTCAAAGCCACAGAGAGCAAGCTGCAGAGCCAGAGCATCAACATAGGCATTCCCCTCCCCTGTGCCTCCAAATTTAATGGGATGAGCATAAAGTCATTCATTTGGGATCAAAGGATTAAAATTTCCAAGTAAAGAATGGAAGAGGCCTGATTTGATAGCAGAACTCTATGAAAAAGTTCTTGCGGAGCTATTTGATCACAAAGTTAATGTGAACCACTAATGAAAAGTGCCCTTGCACTAAGCATGGGTTGCATGATAATTCTGCCCTACTCTGATGTGGTGGGCCCTCATCTGGAATACCAGCATGCTCAATTTGGAGCATCACATTTCCTGAGCTGAAGAAACTGTGTATGTTTAGCGAGTGGGAGAACTGACAAAAGGCAGTTGTAAAAGCTGTTTTCAAATATTTGAAGGACTTTCATATAGAAAAGGGCAATTTCTTCTCTGTTGTTTCAAAAAACTGAAGTAGCTACAATCAGCTCTACCTTCTCTAGGCCTACTAGGTTGTAGCCACTATAGTCCAGAATCTGCAGGCTTGGCCCTGCCTTGTGCTGGAACATACCTTGACTATATGGGGGTCTTTTCCCTCATCATCAGTGGTCTGGAATTAATTTTGTTATCCTAAGCCTGAGTCTGGTATTTGGTATGCAGACATGCAAATGCCTCTCATTCCCCAAACTTTCCATAACGTGTTGTTTGCCTAGCCTGAGCAGCTAGGTCACGGCCTTGCTGTTTTGACAAGAATACGCCAAGCTCTGAGCTCAAACCCAGCTGGTGGAGGTCCTGATGACCTTCCCAAATCCTGCCATTCTCTTTTGGGCCTGGACCCTGTCTCCCTTACTGATAGTTAGGGTGCTCACATATACCATACTGCCTGGGACAGTCCTGGTATAATGATTTCTAGCACCCCCTTTGACTCTGTGCTCCAGTTTGCACACCAAATTACAAAGTGAGTTGGGTGCCTGACTGATCTGTCCTACAAGCAAATGCCACCGTGGTTAACCATCCCTGGTGGTAACGCCCGCCCATCCAGGTCCCAGCTGGCCAAATAGGGGGAAGAATTTTCTAAAAACCCAAGTTGCTTAAGAATGGAGAAGGCTATTGTTTGGGCGCCTGGATGGCTCAGTTGGTTAAGCGTCTGCCTTTGGCTCGGGTCATGATCCCAAGGTTCTGGGATCGAGCCCCGCGTCAGTCTCCCTGCTCTGCAGGGAGCCTGCTTCTCCCTCTCCCTCTGCCTACCACTCCCCCTGCTTGTGCTTGCTCTCTCTGTCAAATAAATGAATAAATTAAAATAAAAAAATAAAAAGAATGGAGAAGGCTACCTTGGCTGGTAGTATCACTAAAAGCCTGCTTTGAGAACTGTGATCAGTTAGTCAGGTTTAAGAGCTCTTTTTCACAGATGTTGTGAGAGAGCTTCTTGCTCAGTGTCAGGACTGGGCTAGGGGATTTTTCAAGTGCCTTCCAACTTAGGCTTCAACTTGTGTATGAACACTTGGAAGAAGGAGGAGAAAAGATCTGGAAGGAGATAATGCATAACAACTGTCTTGCATCCCAGCTTCTGAGTATTGCTACTTATTTTCTAATGTGTCCCAAGGGATTTTATATAAGCCTGTATGTCCTTTTTTACCCCAGTCTGAGTGAATTTTTATTTCTATGTGGTTATATCATCAAATAATATTTATTTATTCTGTTCATCATGTTTTTTTCAAGCATAAGGTTTGTACAATCTTTTTTTTTTTTAATTTTATTTTATTATGTTATGTTAGTCACCATGCAATACATCGTTAGTTTTTGGTGTAGTGATCCATGATTCACTGTTTTCGTATAACATCCAGTGCTCCATGCAGTACGTGCCCTCCTTAATACCCATCACTGGGCTAACCCATCCCCCCACCCCCCCTCCCCTCTAAAACCCTCAGTTTGTTTCTCAGAGTCCATAGTCTCTCATGGTTTGTCTCCCCCTCCAGTTCCCCCCCTTCATTTTTCCCTTCTTTCTCCTAATGTTCTCCATGCTATTTCTTATGTTCCACAAATAAGTGAAACCATGTGATAATTGACTTTCTCTGCTTGACTTCTTTCACTTAGCATAATCTCCTCCAGTCCCATCCATGTTGATGTAAAAGTTGGGTATTCATCCTTTCTGATGGCTAATATTCCATTGTATATATGGACCACATCTTCTTTATCCATTCATCTGTTGAAGGGCATCTCGGCTCTTTCCACAGTTTGGCTATTGTGGACATTGCTGCTATGAACGTTGGGGTGCATATGGCCCTTCTTTTCACTACATCTGTGTCTTTGGGGTAAATATCCAGTAGTGCAATTGCTGGGTCATAGGGTAGCTCTATTTTTAATTTTTTGAGGCACCTCCACACTGTTTTCCAAAGTGGCTGTACCAACTTGCATTCCCAGCAACAGTGTAAGAGGGTTCCCCTTTCTCCTCAACCTCTCCAACATTTGTTGTTTCTTGCCTTGTCAATTTTTGCCATTCTAACTTGTGTAAGGTGGTATCTCAATGTGGTTTTGATTTGAATTTCCCTGATGGCTAACGATGAACATTTTTTCATGTGTCTGTTAGCCATTTGTATTTCTTCTTTGGAGAAGTGTCTGTTCATGTCTTCTACCCATTTTTTGACTTGATTATTTGTTTTTTGGGTGTTGAGTTTGAGAAGTTCTTTATAGATCTTGGATACCAGCCCTTTATCTGTAGTGTCATTTGCAAATATCTTCTCCCATTCTTTGGGTTGCCTCTTTGGTTTGTTGACTGTTTCCTTTGCTGTGCAGAAACTTTTTATCTTGATGAAGTCCCAA